AAACGCCAGGAATCTTTGGTACCTCAAGAACAAGAACAGCATTGCAAGATTTCATCACGAGGTAAGCTAGCTACTTCAAATTAGATCCTTGATAAGTTTATTATTGGTTATCACCTTTAATACAGAGAGTTATTGTCACTGCTTTGAGGCGCGTTACTCGTTTTKCTGTCTCATGATTATTTCCTTATTTATTTCAAACGGCAGAAAACTTAATTTAGTTAATTTAATTTAATTTTTTAGTAGTACCATAATAACATATTGTTTTGGAAATTCGGTCTCCACTGATTGCTGCCAACATAGTTAATTATGCTGCCAATGTTATAAAAATAGACTTGGTTTTTGAAGAAATCCTGTTTTTTTGCTTTGTTACAAGCTCCCACACATTTGAAGTAGYCATATTTCAAGTCTTCGATTCGAAAACGTTTAAACTAGCAATAACGTAGAGGTTTTTAATTAAAGTTGTTTCATATTTTYGACGTCAAAAGCTCAATCRTTTCTGTGTTATTTATAGCTYGTTCAWATRCTTATTTTTTGCATYATTTCATTYGCAGTTAGCAAATWTTTTTTTKATACATTTTCTTCATKTCTTTACAAACGAGCCAATGAACAGCGTTCGAGAARGAACTCTGTCAGCGCCTGTCAAATTAAAGATGGAGAGGAAAAAAACAGAACAACTAAAATCCCTTACAAACTCAAACTCGGCCTTCAGCTGTCCTTAGACTGATCAAATTGCGGTGCGTTCACACTAGCGTTTTTACTAGTAATAAAATAATTGAATAACAGTAAGGATTTTTGTGGTTAAGAATACATCCCAAGAAGCCGCAGGGTACTTTGAGTATTTTGATTGTTGTCAAAGTTATCTGCCTGTCAATGTTGAAAGATTGGTTTTGTTTGTGTGATTAAACACTTTACACTAAAACCACCAAAAACTGTATCTTTGATGCTATTTTTGGTATTRAGATATTTAGTTGAAGTTATGAATTCAAAAATTATTTTTGGTGTTATAACATTTTTTATTTCTGTCTTAAAAGTTTGGCGCTAAATGTATGTTGCATCTTGTTTAATTAACTGTCACTTATGATGAAATGTGCCAGTGCATGCGGCCCCAACAACAATCATATAGATTTTCATATCCRGCTTTAAGAAACCAACATTTTTGAAAATCTTTGCCTGGCAAACAACTAGGTGCGACTGTTGAAACCATGTGTGAATTTTTTTCAAATATGCTGAACCTTAAGAATACAACCTACAAAAAACTTTAAAACTCTACGGTATTGCTTTTTTTCAAACGTTTTAAAGCCTTGAAAAATAGAAATTTCCCAGCCTGAAATTTGAAATGATCAGGTGGCAAAAAATCATTTTTTGGGTTATGTAAAATATATTTCATGTTTCAAAATATATCTAGAATGACGAAATTATGATTTGTTGGAATGGACAGTGTYGTTATAGCTTTAATACTAAAATCAGTGATCGGCCGCTTATCTTTGACTTGTTCATGATTTACTGGCTATTTTTTAAGGTCCGATTTCTTGCTGTTTTTTTTTTTTAGGTTTGAAGCGTTCAACTATTGTGAGCCCCGAGGAAGTGATGACCAAATACTGCTGCAAAAATAACTGCATCAAAAAATTTTCTCTGTCTCAAATCACGGAAACACGACATGCGTTTATTAGGAATTTTGGGCGTCACGCCAAGCAACGACAMTATATTTTGGACTGGTTGAGCTCCAATCGGCCGAAAGAAGAAGAAGATAATTTCGTTCATTCTATATGTGGCGTCAAAGTTTGTATCAACTKTTGGCTGAATGTCTTAGGAATTACAAGGCRAAAGTTTTTTCAACTGAAAAAGCAGTTCCTTGATGAAAATCGACGAAGTGGAATTCATGGAAACACAGGGRCCTTAAGGCTGTCATTGTCCAGTGAGTTGGCACTCAATTATTTAAAATCATATTTCGAACAAATGTGCGAGCACATACCCAACGGAAATGTTATGCATCTCCCCTCAAACATAAGGAAATATGACATTTACRAGGAAATGGAGTTGATGTTGGCATCCCAGGGACAGCCTTGTTGCACCAAGACAACATTCAACAATCTTTGGACAAAGTATTTCCCAAATATTAAAATTCCAAAGGTAAACTAAAGTCTTACTATAATTACTTAATTATTTTGCATGGCATGTTAAGTTGTATTGTAAGTTTCGGGTAATTGCAGAAATTTCAATTTCAGGCACATYGTTAACGTTTTTATTATAACAAAACGAAAAGCTATCCCGTTTTTTGCTTTGTTTTATGTCATTGTATGATGTTATTTCATTTGCCTTATTCATTTATTTTGTTTGAGGTTTTATCTATTTTTTGTTCTGTTTAGTTCTTTCTTTTTTTGTGTAGTTGCATTCAGTTATATTGACTCTGCTTTGTTATATTTTTATTTTGAAGGAAAACCGATTCAGCAAGTGCGATGATTGCAGTAAGATCAAGGCCGATCTGAGAGAGACACTAGATCCCGAGAAGCAACAAACTATACTAATTAAGAGAACGGGGCACCATGAATTTGTGAGGTACAATAATTTGTTCTAGAACATCCGAGGCTTATCAGTTGCCATACAGGCATGATATATTGATGAAAACACTAAACTTTAAAAGATAATAGAATAAGTTTTAGAGGAGTTGGGTCAAAAAGAAAGGGGCTAACATTGACGTTGACAGGCTAGATAGTCAGAGTGATGTTTAAACGTAAGCCTTCATCTTTCTACCCTGAGAGCAGCTGAGAGTCAACTGTGCATCAAAAGTGGTCTCCTTGTCTTTTTAACAAAATAAGTGACAATTTTAATTTTATGTTTGCAGACTAGAGAGACAACTTTACCTAAGCCGTGGGATTTTAGGACATCACCAAYCAAATAAATACTTCTCCATCGCAATAGATGGAATGGATCAAAATAAAACGGAACTGCCTTTCTCCACCTTACGATACAGCCTATTGARTACGGCTTGGAGATTGAAAGTGCACGTTGTTGGGGTGATGGTTCATGGCCGAAACCCAATTGTGTTTCTCGAMCACCAACAACACGCACATGATTCTAATTTGACCGCCAACATCTTACTTCAGGTAAAAAATCGTCGTCATTGCTACCACCATTATCATTAACTTCATAACCATTATTGTTGTCATCATCATCATCATCATCATCATCATCATCATCAAGTTTTGCTATGTATGAACTACGAACTTTTATTATAACGTAGGTTTTCTGGATGCACAGAGATCGATTACCTGATACGGTTTATATACAGATGGATAATACATGCCGCGAAAATAAGAACCAGTATGTTTTTGCATTGCTGGCATACTTGATTGAGCGAAAGGTGTTTAAGGAGGTAAATGTTAAAACAAACCTTTGGAAGTGGTAAAAAACGCTAAACTACATAACGACATAAATGAAGGGCCGACTTGGAAAAGTGTGTATGTAACGATTAGGTGCGTGTGAATATTTCGAATTAATTTACTGGAAAAAAGAAACTAGGAAAACTTGGTTATGAAACATGCTTGATTGACTCGAAGTCAAAAATTGTCATTCAAATCCGAATCGTCATTCACGCTGTTTTCAAACTCAGCCCTTCAATTGATTTATGTGAATTAAAACTTTTTTAACTGGATTTGTCACATATACGACTTATCCTGGTGTCTTTATACAAAGAAATGTATGTGTTTAGCACAAAAACCAGGCTCCTCGTCCATGGTATGCAATTTWAACATACATTTCTTTGCAAAGAAAAATTCAAATTCCCATCCTCGTCAATTTTAATTCTACATGCACCTGCTGGAAACTTTGTACTTTCATCATTATCAGTTAGAGCAATCGGAGTATTAATTCGAAAGATACATTGCGTGTTGTATTGACAATGTTAATAATAATTTGTCAATCATTTAAAGATCTGTTAATATCAAAATTTGTATGTATCTCATCAGATAACAGTATCATTCCTACYGAAGGGTCATACGCACGTGGATGTAGACCAAATGTTTTCGCGGTTATCTGTGGCGATAGCTAGGTCTGGATGCTTGACTCCAACAGATCTAAGGCGATTGATTGGCTCATGCTATAAACAGGCACAAGGAGATGTCACCCAAGCAGGAGCAAGGCCCCAAGTTGCACAACTACAACACCTGTAYGCCATTAGAGAATGGCTAAAGCCCTACAGTTGGGCRGTCCACTACCTGAGGCCCTTCCATCAATTCCGCTTCTATCTTGATGAAAGAGGAAAATGTTTAACAGACTTTAAAGCTTGGTGTCAGAGTAAGAACTAATTTGATTTTAAAAATTTATGACTGAGTCGACTTAGTCAATTGGAAGGTCAAATAGTACAGTTGTATTTTTTATTCTTAGACGAGTCCTTTTACATTCTCAAATGTGTGCGGTTACAACTTGAAATTATCCTCATATTTCATTCCATAAACAGCTCCGGGAAAAAATCTCCTATTATTATTTTGAGTTTAGCTTACATTTTAACACAAATAAGTCCTAATGATTGAACTCAGCTTATTAAAGTTCCAGTGTGAGTGATCGTTCTGCTGTAAGGGCAGGTTCAGTCTTACAGTTTTCGTACAATTTCAATTTCAGGCGAATGGGATCCATTAAAGTGGCCACCATTAGAAATATTGAAGCAAGAACCAACAAGTGAACCTGAGACTATCGTTCCTAGTTATGACACTGTGGACATTGATCGCCTACGCGGGATGGTGAAAAAATGTGTTGATGGAGGGGTGTTAAATGCCGAGGAGGAGAAGGTGTGGGACGGGTTTTTGGCTGGTGAGGAAGCCCTTGCTGACTACTACCAAGACAAGGAGCAAGCTACGTACTGTGGTATGATATTCAACATTTATTGATTAAGTGGAAGATCACATTATTAAAATCGTTTCTTTTTTTTTTATATATAAACATAGATAAGCATCATAACAAAGAAGTGAGGTACATGCCTCCATCAGACAATGRCTGGCTACTTGATGAACTTGTTGCCAGAAAAAGACCAAGTGAAAATGAAGCGCCCGACCTCCGGGAAGTACTTCGTGAAAGTGAATCGCTCCTGAACGGAGAAGGGCTGATTCCGGTATGTAATGTGAAGCTGCGTGTACGTTCATTATTGCTAGGAGACATCGACACTATTCCACTACAGGAAGACCAATATTTCGCAGCACTAACGTTTGAAAAGAACAAAGTTTTAAAAAAGAGAACTTGAGCATGGCGTTATTTCATCAAAAGTCTCTTGCTTCTGTGATTCATTTTATGATTTCTTCACACAGGCTTACACAGGACCCTACCGACCACCTGGACACAAACAGCGCGAAATTATCAGAGATGAAAATGTAGATGCACTTAAAGTAGGTATGCTCGTCGCCCTCGACGTCGACACATATAAAGAGAGGCCACAGATAGCCGAAGTTGTGTCACTCAGCACCTCAGATACAATAGAGGTGGAGTGGTACATTGGAAGCTGGTCAACATCATGGAAGCCCCACAAAGTACGACGTGGACGAAATATGGTCATATGGAGAGAAGTTGTCCAGMAATCTTGTGTCCTCCTCTTCGACTTCGAGTTAACGCCACAAAAGAAGCTCAGGGAGGCGACCAAAAGAGAATTGAAGAGGGTAYATGAGGAAAATTAGGTTGAATGAGTTAAAGGATTGAGAAAGTTTCAATCTACATTCGTAAGCTGTTTCGCACTWTTCATTTGAAAACACAATTGACTTATGAACAACGGAGCACACCATTGTTTTCTACTATTGTGGTCTTTAAAATATTATATAGTTGATTCATAATGAAGAGCGTACGGACTTTGGAAATGTTTGAAAATTTTGGAGTGGCCATAAATTTATGTCCAGCAATAAT